TGACAAGCACTCTCTCTGAGTTTGCCATCTCTTCAGACAGGCAGAGGTTCTATTGTTTAATGCTCTTCATTTTTTTCATGTTTTTGAGTACTTTGCTTGTTAAATAAATAGTTTTTTCCATTTTTCTTGAAAGATATTTTATTTCCAAACCAGCTGGGGGAGCGGCAGTTTGAGTTTGCTTTCTAGACTACTTTCACTTCAAAAGTTTCCTCTAAAATTTGCTCTAAACCAGGACAGTCCTAAAATACATAAACCAATATACCCCTTACAAGAATGCAGTTCCTCATTTATGAATTTGCTAAGTCAGAAGTGAAAATCTATTATTGCAGGTCATCCCAGAAGACTTTTTTCTGGAACTGGCAGTTTTAGTCTCACTCTTGACCAAAAACCTCATTTTTCAACATTATAAACATCTACACAGAATTCACAATTTGAGCCATTAAGAATTTACTAAGCTTCAGCTGCTTCTTAGGAATTGCACATGATTAGGTGTTTCCCAATCCCTCTATGTTTTTGAAAACCAAAGATCAGTGAATCCTACCTGAACTCACCACGATAAAGCTTCTGTAATGCTTCAGGAAATGAGTATGTGTATCTCACAGGCAAGCACAGGTGGCCTTCTGATCTGGTAGCAAAAAATGACAATGAAAATTATAGTATTACTGTTCAGATTTGGTACCTTTGGAAAACAAAACAAAAATCTCCCTATGTGTTACATCTAGCAAAGCTACACTTCTTGGACCTTTAGGAATCTCTACTGTTCTTGCACAGTACCACATCAGCAACAATACACTTCTCTCAGCTCCTGGAGTCTGTGTGTCTGAGACAAGCTATTTCTCCCACATTTCCCCTAAAAACTGTTCAGCTAATAATCCTGCAGGAGTATATAAGTATTAATGCAGTTCCTGTCACCATTCTAAGCAATTTAGGCTTAATAAACCTGGCAGGTGAGGGAAAAAAATCTTTCTCCATTTACACCCAAGTTAGCAACATGAACAGCTAAGCAACATACCTAAGAACAAAAGAATCTCATGTCAAAACTAGAAGACTAAACAGTGCTCCCTTCCACAAGTAATATGTGACAATTTGAAGGCACTTGTTATTTCAACCCTACTAGTCAGGCTTGAAAATGCAGAATAGCTACTCTGAGCATTTGAAAAGTTTTGGAAGAGAAGGTATTAAAGGAATTAAACATTTTGACCACCACCTCATGTACTAGGAATAAATTAACTGTCAATATCAAAAAAAGCAGAAATCACAAGCAGAATCTAAATCTGGACTTCTCAGCAGGCAGAGCTTTGGTGAATTCTGAGTTTCACTTGCCATTCATTTGAAGGTTATAGCAGCCAAGCAATACTAACACACTGTACCTACTGAGCTGTAAGATTGATGTGGGCAGGTGGGTGCAGCTTGTGCAGAGTTTATAATAGGACAGCTAAGTGCCAACAATTGGTTCAGGAGTTTTCTGAGGTATCTTATGGTTTACATTAAGAAACAACAGCAAACTTCTTCATCTGAGCCTCTACTGAATCCACCTTCTTCACAAAAAAATTAAGGTTTTGTGTGTTCAGACACCACACTTAACTGCTTTTACCAAGTCCTTCTTCCTAAGTTCTGTACTGCCATTCTAGCCTCAAACTTCTGGTTAGTAATACAAGTTAACTAGCTGCAAGTGCTGTTACATTGGTGTGTGAGAACATCTGTGGCACTGTAACACAGGCATGCTTGTCCAATACTACTTAATGTCCTCTCAGACGAGACAGGATAACTCCCTGTGCAAACTTCTCTAAAAAACCCAAAAGATTCCCTTCGTATCTACAACCCACTAAAACAGACATTTATGCTGTCAAATGCTACAGGTATGCCTCATGTACCACAGAAACAGATGCACAGTGTGCCTAGTATTAAATAAAGCATTGTTTTCCCAAATTTGCTTTTACCTTTCAGGATCAGTATTTATTCCGATGACTGGTTTAAATTTATCAAAGACCTTACTGGCTGCCAACAACATTGTACCATCACCTACAAAGAAAACAGATCAAAAGTTAGTTTCACTTCACATTCTAGTACCCCAAACAGAATGTCCTCCAGCATTAGCATTATGTGCGTTTATATCAACAACAAATCAGGCAAGCTGGACAAAAATACAATAGGACAAAACTACTGACATCTTATCAAATAAGAGTAGTGACAACTGAATTTGAGATAGCAAACATGACTGGAAAAAGTACGATTTATCTGACAGCTATACATGCCCAGGCAACTGAACGTGGCAGAAGCAAGCTTTAAAAGAGATTTATGGGAATTTCTGTACATTTATCAGCAGGTAAGAGAAATTCTTTAGCAAAAGTAAATTTAGAAAGTATTGCTAAACAAAGCCACAGGAGACAGGAAACAAAACCAAATGTTACTGTGAGTCACATAAAAACAATGACTTTAGCTTCACCGCAGTTGTCCTTCTAAAAGGCAATTTAAAGGTCTTATTTGGCCCCAAACAGGCACACTTGGAAAAGAGGTCTTGGGTAAGTAGAAATCTCGGAATTAGAAATCTTTAAATGTACTGGTTTCTGCAGATATTGGTATTCTTTCCTGTCTGTTAAACAGAAAGAAAACTATAACCTCATTCAGTCTTTGCAAGAAGATATAAGCTCTGAACAGCACGAAGACATAAAGCTCTGAAAACCTCAGATGGTGTACTATTACTTCCCAGCTGCTTGCCTCAACCATGAAAAATTTTGCCAAAGACAAACTGGCACTTTGGGGAAGTTCTTTGAAATTCACAAGAGTGTGATAGGATGCTCCAGGAATAAACATTTCTACCCATTCTTCATGGTGCTCAGTACCTAAGGGCAAACTGGACTAGTGGGAAAGAGAAAGCTGTGGTCAAGCCTATTTTCCACAGATGAGTGAACACTACGTCAGAGCCCAGCAACACAAGGCTGTATTTGCAGCATATCCCAAAAAATAACACTGAATGAACTGCTGCAATCCAATATTAAAGATAAACAATCAGGTTAATTGCTCTGTTGGTTCATCTGGAAAACACTGATCAGTGGCACAAGATGCTCAGAAGCTGCAGACTTTTTACCTGTACCATCCAACTTGATACGCCAGTCACTGGATTAAGTGTGAAAGCAAGAAAGACAGTTTGAGCAAGGGGACCATGAGGTAGTATGTTAGTCTACACCTCACATCCCAAAAAAACAATGAGTAGATTTTAGGGCTACATAAAATTACATGACATCAAGAATTTTATCCTCTTTAGTTGAAAACTATAGTAAATTCCACAGTTTATATTGTTTCACACATGAAAAACTTTTTGAGCGGCCATGCACTGGGGTTCACTTCCATGGGCTACAATTTTAGGTACTAGAGGTAGACAAGATGGTCATAACCACTGCTTTTTATAAAATTTTCTGACAATCAGATTAGTACTTTGTTTTCAGAATGTGCATTATTTCCAGTTGCTTCAAACACTGCCAAGTATTTTTGAGAAACATATCTATGAAAACATACTGAAACAAATACTTCCCTTCCATAAAGTCATACCTCCTGCTGATATAACAGCATCTGCCCACCGAACTGTCTCTTCATTATACTCTCGACGCTTAACGAGACGAACTTCTATCCTTTCGTTCCTGTAAAGTTCAGAGAAAGTCTGAATTACAATATATAATGTTTGTTGTCACAGCCTTCCAGAAAGTTGTCATGCAGCTAAGGAGTAATTGCAATCATATTTGGCTTAAAAACACTTGACACACAAATCCTGTACCACCTTCTTGCTTACTTTTAAGACAATAATCAAACATGCTGGCCAACTGAACTGAGTCAGTTCACATGACGGCTCTTTCAGGAATGACTGCTCATCTGCACCTCTCTCTTTTTTTTCCTATTTTATTGGCATTCGTAACAGGAGGCTTCCTTTTGTTTTCACACGATCCATGGATATTTGCACTGTGTCTGAAATGTTCACACCCATGCACTCTTACCGTAAGCTGTCCACAACATGCTCCACGTTTTTTGTATGAATGCGATGCCGTTCCAGCAGACCAGCATAGTTAGATCCCTTCAAGGCAAGCTGTAAGACACAAATGGTATTTATAGAAGTACAGTAAGTGCTCTTGAGCAAAGCAAATAGAACCTATAAAAAAAGCACGCTATTTTCTCTCAGCAGAGATACATTCTTATAAGCCTTCCATTAATTACATTTCTATATACACAGCAGTCAGGTTATATTGACTAGTTCATTAAGTGAATCAAATGGCCACAGCAGTCAAGAATCACAGATACGCAAACAAGCATACTACATTGACTTCCATGCAACTTCAGACACTTTGCTCCTCCTGAATCTGCCAACTGATATAAAGACTACATGATTCCATATAGTTACACTAAGTATATTTCTGCCATGTGCTGAAACACCCAGTTAGCTCAGAGCTGTGCTGTAGAAAAGACAGACAAAAAAAGCAACAGGAATGACAATTAAGGAAACAGAGCCTGAAACACATCCAGCATTACCCTTCAAATTGTATTTGAGCTAAAATGGAAGACTGCCAAGTGCTGACAAAGGTGACATTTTCTCTGGATCAAAAAAAGCTTAAGGACAATCTACCTAATACATTTGATACTGTTCCCTGGATTTTATACCACATTTGTTAAACAAGTTGATAACAATAACAACAAGACAAACTCTGTAGGTGCATTCTAGTCTCATCCTTTCTGGAAAATGGAGAATTTGAATACTTAATTAATCTCAACACACTCTTCAGACCACAGAAACATTTTGCAGTTTATATAGATACAGTCATAAGCAGGCATGTGAGATTACTGACTTGTTGCAGATTAGTTTGGCAACAAGTTTTTGTGCGAGTAATTCAGTCACCATATGTTCCTTATCTTATTTAGCAGGGGGGGCCTCATCTGGGGCTGATGCTGCCAAACATGTGTGCGCATAGAGATAAAGAAAGTGAAAGAAAGAGGGTGCAAAGGATGTTAAGCAAAAGGAGTCTATAAATACATTCACAGTGAAATATATTTACAGCAGGCTCCTGATACTCCGTCTAGCCTGAATTATTCTACAATTACACTGTCACTGCTTCCTTTTCCCTGAACAGTTAAAACCAATTTATCAGCAGAGAAACAGAACTTCTCCTAGAGTTTGGCCAGAGGAATTCATCTGTGCCAGAAGCTCTAAGCAGCTACTTCCAGCAATTTATTCAAGTGCCTTTATTCAAAGTTTTATACCATTCCAAAAGAAAGTGGTGCCAAACAGCCTTGTCTAATCCCATTTTCATAGACTTCTCAACTCCATAGAGAAGGGGAGAGGACTGTCAGGATATGACAGTTGAAGTCAACCACAACCCAATACCCAGGAAATGAAATCTTTATTCATCTGACATCCATTCATGTCAAGAAATCCAAGCATGAGCTAAGCACATAAGATAGACTCAGCACCGAAGTAGTTACAGACAAGGATGTAACTGGCGGCTCTGGAACTGCACTGCTGTGTATTAACAATTGGCAATTAACTTGCAGGAACAAAATCTTTAGGTGGTCTTAGAGCTGGGATCAGGAAACCACTTCCAATAGAGACTCACAGGCTGCCTGGATGTATCAACAGCACTAAAGGAAGACAGTGGGAGCAGCTGCCTGCCAGCTATGCATGATCACACACAGACACAGGTATGTGGATGATCAGAAAACAGACAGATAAATATTGCAGGTTTTTCCAAAGCTTGTTCACATTGCTTTATTGGGATACAGGGTGTTATGTCCCATTAATTGCCTCTCACACTTAAATCCTTTGTTTCTTCTCCTGAGCTACAATGCCTGTGCACCCCAGACACCTCTTAGTCTTGCAGAGTCCATGGTGTAGCACTGGGAACTTGAATATTGCCCCTGTGGACTCTGGGGAGTGAAAGATTACACAGGGCTATGCTAGTTACAGCACAGCCCATTGCCAGCCTGCTGACAGCCTCCCATCATCCACTTGGAGGGGAAAGGAAAAGGCAGAAAGGAAAAAAGGAGGTATTTGCCTTCCATAGACACCTGCTGCTGAGCAGCATAGGTGTAATTTGCTAGAAGAATTTTCAATTGCATGTTCAAAGCACAAATTCATCTTGCCATACCACAAGAACAAGAAAACCACAATCAAACAATTTCCAAAAAACTAAAATCAGGTTCCTCTAGAAGTATCTGCAGTGAATGAAACAAGCACCTGACAAGCAGACTGCTGTGACAGCAGGCTTTTTTCAGGCTGCTGTTAGTTCCACACAAAATAGAAACCACAAACTCCATCTTGTAATTTTATGTACCTCATTTATTCGGCTCATATGTCAGCATGCTATTTTGCAACTTGATGGAAGAGAGCTTTTATCTCTGAACAATAACAATGTAATATTGTTATTGTTATATCAGTGGCAAGCCAACAGCTAGCATTTCCCTGGCATCACCAGGAAGGAGAGGTATGAGTAGCACCACTGCTATGGAACAGGGTCTGCTCTGTAACTTACATTTGCCATAGCTGAGTTAAATTATTTCAGCAACAGCTTCAGAAAACAGAAGAGACTGATCAGCAAATAAACTATCAGTATTCTGACAACTGGATGAACCATTTCAGCAGCACTGTAGAACAGGCATTGAATGTGTATATCTCCTCTTTGAATTTACCTCTAGAACAACTAAGCACACATTACTAAGCAAGAAAAATGGAAGTTAGGGCCTTTAGTTTGAATGGCTGTGCTACATTTAAGGAGTTACTAAATTGTCCTGATTTGCAAAAGGCTCTGGAGATTACAACAGTCTGTTCATCTCCAGCTTCATTCTCCGTGTTCAAAGATAACTTGCAAGTTCATTCATCTAAGAACTGACAAAAGGGAAGCCCAACTGAGCCTGACCACAGTAAAGTATATCCAACAGGAATGCTAATCAGCAGCTGCTCTCACTTGACTGCTCCAAACAACCAGAGGAGTGCCTACAGTCCTTGTGGTCAGAAGCACAGAATCACGGAGCGGCTGAGCTAGAACAGACCTCTGGTCGAACCCCAAGCTCAAGCAGGGCCATCTGTCCAGATGTGGATGGCTTTAGAAGATGTTCACAGATGGAGCCTCTACCACATCTCTGGGCAAACTATGTCAGTGTCCAGTCACCCTCGCAGTGAAAAGGGTGTTCAGACAATGTTCAGACAGATGTACCTGTATTTCACTGCCTCTGCTCCTGCCTCATATCCAGCACCTGAGTGCCACTCTAAAACTATGACAAATGCTGCTGCTGGAAAGAGGTTTGCACTTAGGGCAAAGTGTAAGACCAAACTGAGAGCAGCATCTGCTTTTTATTTCAAAAAAGCTGAAGACAAAGATCAGGCAGTCCAGTTGCTGTGTGCATGACCACCTCCTTAAAGAGCCTTGAAGACACTTGGGATGTACAGACAGCACAAGGACAGCCTGGCTCTTAAGCACAATCATAAACCTATGCCAGGCTTGGCTTTTGTCAACTGACACCTCAAAAAGGCACAGAGGTATTAGATTCCGCATGAAGACAACTTTCAAGCTCTTCTTCCTTTGGAGTAACCTCTGATTTAGAATTAGGCCTGTTAATCTGACCTTAATACTACACAAAATAAAATGCAAGAATAAGCCTTCCTTCTGTAGTCTAAGCCTGCACCTCTGGCAAGTCCCAACTCATTTGGTTTAAACTGTGGGTCTGCTGTCCTTTAGTAATGTTTGCCCTGCAGGAACAATGTTGTACAGCAAGGACAAGGCTTCTAGACACAAATACAGAAGTCAACACAAGCCAAGTAATACCCACTGTTGTCTACATATGTGGATTATGACTCTTGATTTAGAAAATGGGAAAAGACATAGCTGAGACCTACTGGCATTGCTTATTAAGCATTAGGATAAAAGAGTATGTTCTCTCCATACAGTAACATGCATATTGTCTGGAGTGAATTTGTCAACTCAGCACCTTCTGCATCTCATCCTAGCAGAATCACAGAGTGATTTGGTTTGGAAGAGACCTTAAAGATGATCTACATCCAGCCACCCTGTTCTAGAGAAGGAAACCTTTCACTAGACCAGGTTCCTTAGAGCTCCATCCAATCTGAACTTGGACACTTTGACAGACACTGCATTCACAAGTTCTCTGGGTAACCTGTGCCTGAGCCTCACTACCTTCACAGTAAAAAACTTCTTCCTAACAACTAAGCTGCTAATCTTCCCTCTTTCAGCTTAAAGCCATTCCCTTCATCCTATCAATACACTCACTGACAAAAGGTCCCTCTTCAGCTTTCCTGTGGAGTCCCTTCAGGTACTAGGAGGTGCTCTAAGCTCTCCTCAGAGCCTTCTCTTCTTGAGGCTGAACAGCTCAAACTGTCTTGTCCTCACAAGGAGAGGTGCTCCAGCCTCGTGACCATCTTTGTGGTCCTCCCCTGGACTTATCCAGTAAGGTTAAATGGAACTTTTCCAATGTACTTTGGCCTTATGTGTATGCATATATATTCTCATTACTAGGCTTAAGCTTAATTTACAGCACTAACCTTCATGCAGTCTTAAACTGCACCAGGGTGAAGTTAATACCAATCACTTGTTTTACAACTGTTGGTCATTGAGGAGTTAAACTAAATGTCTGACTAGAAAGAAGAAAAAAAAATCCAAAAAAACCCCTAAACCCTAACAACAAAAAGCATAGATCTAGAAACAATTACTCTCTCAAATTTCCACAATGAACTTGCCCACACATGCACCCCAGCTGGAAAACAAGAACAGATCACTGCTTTACAATCTACCTGATTTCTACAGAAAGAACCACAAAATAATACAAACGGATTTAGAGATCAACAGCTAAATAGCAAAAATTTGAATTTTAACCTCAAGATAAAAATACAATGAGCACTAACATAACAATCTGTTTCTAAGCAAAGGATGGCACCTTAAGTCCTGTATTTTCAGAAACTGTCCCTTGAGATTTAACCATGTGTCCCAAGTATAGACAAAGTTAAGTGTTCAGTATTTGCTCTGCTTAAAAGAAACAAGATTTTGACAGACTTACAGAAAAAATATTTTTCTCAATACATTAAGGTTAGAACTAGAACAGCTTTGAATATAGGACATGTTTCAAGCCATACACTTCCCTTAGCATTCCTGACTAAACTTGACTTTCAATCAAAACTTCCTTAATTATCAAAGTCAGACTGTCAATCTACAGGCAAGTGATTATCCTGTTCTAGTGCTACTTACTTAAGACAAAGCTTGATCTGTCATGCTAAAAACAAATGCAATTTTCCTAAAAGGTCAGGCACACTCTAAACTTCTGGATTTCTTAGGAGCTCTAATGAAATATTAAGCTTCTCTATTTGAAAATGTAAAAGTAATCCACATACAAGTACATAGGATTAAAGCATGGTGCAGCTTCTGAATCTTAGATAATAAAACGCCAACAACAAAACAGATACACAAACTGAGCAGCTAGCCTTAGCAGAACTTGCCCAACAGGAATCTGTACCTGGGAGACATATTTCAAGTGTCTCACAGAAAAGGGTCTCCTAGGGCAGGCAGAGCAAGCTTGAACCACAATGCTGAATGGTTATCGTTTGTACCAGCCATTAGCTGAACTGATGGGGGAGCTGAATTTGGTGGTTGCACACAACAGATATTCAGGTTTGGACATGACACTCACAGTAAGCACAGGACAGCACACCTACCCTCGATTTATAGCAGAAAGTAAGTACCATTTGTACTTGGCTGTATTCACACCAGTGACAGCACATTTGCTGACAACACCAAGGCTTGGTGCAGTTGATACACTGGAGGGTGGAGGCGTCATCCATGGGACCCTAACAGGCTTGAGGGCTGGGTCTGTATAAACCTCATAAAATTCAACAAGGCCAAATGCAAGGGGCTGCACTCGGGCTGGGGCAATACCAATACTGGCTGTGGGACGAAGGGATTGAGACCAGCCATGGAGAAGGACTAGAAGGTGTTGGTGAACGGACAGCTGGACATGGCTCAGCAGTGTGAGCTCATCTCCCAGAAAGACACCCCAGGCTGCATCCAAAGCCCCATGGGCAGCAGGGCAGGGAGGGGATTCTGCCCCTCTGCTCTGCTGAGACCCACCTGGAGCACTGCATCCAGCCCTGGGCTCCCAGCAGAGCAAGGACATGGACCTGTCAGAGTGAGTATAGAGAAGAGACACAAAGAGGATCAGAGGACTGGAGAACCTCTTCTGTGAAGACAGTCTGAGAGAGATCCTTAATATTACTCCTTTCACAGAAGTTGCCTGACTTCTTAAAAGGGGAAATGTGGTCTAATTGTTCTTGCACTAGAAATAGTAAATGCATTATCAGATCTCATATAGTTTGGCTATAGATAAAGACTCAAGATAGTAAGGCAACCATATTTAGGAAAAAAAATGGTCTAATTTAAGTATTTACTGAAAAATTCCAGACTTATTGAATAACAACATTTGCTAAGTCACTGACTTAATGTAGCACATTGACCCTGACTGGCTGCATGCCAGGTGCTCACCAAAGCTGCTCTTATCACACCCTTTCACAATGAGATAGGAAAGAGAAAATGTAAGGAAAGGCTCAAAGTTGAGATAATGACAGGAAGAGAATACTCACCAGTTACCATCACAGACTAAACACACTCAGCTTTTGGAAATGAACTGAATTTATTATGAATCAAAATCAGGAGAGGATAATGAGAAGTAAAACAAATCTTAGAAACACCTTCCCTCCATCCCTCCAATTGTCCCAGCTCTCCCTCCTCCGCCCCTCAGCAGAACAGGGACATGAGCATGGGGTACACAGTCAGTTTGTCTCAAGTCGTTTTGGTCTCTGCTCAACTAGAGGAGCTCTTTTCCCCTGCTCCAGCCTGGGGGCTGGAGATATCCATAGGAGATTTTTCAAACACTTCTCCAGCATAATTCTTTTCCATGGGCTGCAGTTCTCCACAAACTACTCCAGTCTGGGTCCTCCACAGGGTGCAGTCCCTCAGGAACAGGCTGCTCCACTGTGGGCCCACATTGGGGTCACAGCTCCTGCCAGGAGCCTGCTCCAGTGAGGGGAGCTCTGCACAGGCCACAGCTCCTGCCAGGAGCCTGCTCCAGTGAGGGGCTGCTCTGCACAGGCCACAGCTCCTGCCAGGAGCCTGCTCCAGTGAGGGGCTCTCTGCACAGGCCACAGCTCCTGCCAGGAGCCTGCTCCAGTGAGGGGCTCTCTGCACAGGCCACAGCTCCTGCCAGGACCCTGCTCCAGTGAGGGGCTGCTCTGCACAGGCCACAGCTCCTGCCAGGACCCTGCTCCAGTGAGGGCTGCTCTGCACAGGCCACAGCTCCTGCCAGGACCCTGCTCCAGTGAGGGCTCCTCTCCACAGCTCCTGCCAGGAGCCTGCTCCAGCACGGGCTTCCCATGGGGTCAGAGCCTCCTTCAGGCACATCCACCTGCTCTGCTGTGGCTCCTCCAGGGGCTGCAGGTGGATCTCTGCTCCCCCCTGGGCCTGCAGGGGCACAGCTGCCTCACCCAGGGCTGCACCAGGGGCTGCAGGGGAATCTCTGCTCTGGCTCCTGGAGCAGCTCCTGCCCCTCCTTCTTCACTGACCCTGTGTCTGCAGAGCTGTGCCTCTCACACACTCTCAATCCTCTCCTCTCTGAGAACAATTACATTTGCACAGTAATTTTTTTCCCCTCTTAAATATGTTACCAACTGAGTTGACAGTACCACCTCTAAATGGCTTGATCTGTGCTGGTGAGGGTCCATCTTGGATCCATCTGGCATTAGCTGTCAGACATGGAGGAAGCTTCTGGCAGCTTCTTACAGGAGCCACAGCTGCAGTCCTCCCCACTACCAAAACCTGGCCACACAAACCCAATACACTCAACCTTTTGCTATCAACAGGGCCAGTTTCAGTAGAATTATGTTGGTAGTACAGTTTGCAATTACAGTGTACAGTAATACAGTGGATTAACCCATTTTGGGATACCCAGCTCCTTTAAGGCCCTGCAGTCTAGTTCATTCAGACTTGCGCAAGTGCTCTGAAACCCTCTCTAAAGTGAACCTTACAACCAGTCTCAGTGAGCAGCTGCAGGTTCTGAATGAAGTTCAAATGCACTGGCTTCTGATCATTTATTAGCTAAAAAAATCTAATCCATAAATACATTGTTTACAGGAAGGCTTTAATAATGAGTAAGCATCAGAGAAACCAATCAGGTTCCTGAAACAAACTCCTACTGTGGATCAGAAGTACCAAGGCTCAGGTTTACGTCTCCCATAAGGCCTTAAAACACAAATCAAGTTTTCCAATACAAACTGCTGTTGAGCTGCAAGCCATAGCATTAAATCCAATTCTTCCCCCCTTCCCAGGATTATTACACATTATACAGGCTCTAGCCACTTGCTTTTAAAAAAGTGTGCTAAGTTAACCAATGCAGTAAGTCAGTTCTTACCCCACAAGAAAGGCCAGAAGGCTGAAGTTACCTGACTAGGACTGATTTACTAACTTGCTGTCAGTTGCTCAGTATTTTTCCCAATATTGTTTCTGGCTATTTGCTATGTTTCCACCAGTTTGCTGCACCACCCCCCACACTGCAGAAGTCCAGAGGACTACTTTAGCTAGGAAATTTTTTCCTTATATTTTCCTCACTTTGTTCTTCAGTAATTTAGACCCCTCACTTCCATTACACCATCACGGCAAGCCTTCAAATGCTGCTGTACGCTAATGTATCTTCTGTAGAATAATGACTATGAAGTACAGATATTGTAGCATTTTATAAACCATTGCTTCTGTAATATGTGATTTAACTGCAACATTATGTTCCTGAAGCTTTACAGAAATGCTGCTTTAGGACAAGAGTTTGATGCATACATGAAAAAAAGTTTTAATGCCATGAACTGTTTTCTAATTGTTCATCCACCACATTAAAGCATTA